TACAGGTTGGTTCAACAGGTTGGTTCAACAGGTTGGTTCAACAGGTTGGCTCGACTGCACAGTGCAGTGTGAATGCAAACGCACCAGCTCAAATTTAACAAAAACTCATGAATATTGGTCCCGAACCGAGTCTACCGGACTATCAGGTGTGAAAACAACCTTAGTTGTTCCAAATTTTTTAAGATGTGTTGCTGCCAGGAAAAAAAAAATTACAGATATTTTTGCCTAAAAATGCCATGATTATAATTGAATAATGCATTTACTTTGCTTCATTGTGAATAAAATATGGATTAACAAAGTTTGAAAATCATTGCATTCTGTTTTTATTTACATTTTACACAATGTTGCAACTTTTTTAAAAACTGATTGCATTTTATTCTAGACCAAAAGTGGAATAAAAACTTACCTGTTTTTGCTTTGTTTTCAAGTCGTTTCAGCTTCTTTAAAGATTTTTTGGCTTTTTTATGTTTTTTATGTCCTTTTGGGACGTTGTCAGCATTAAAGAAAGACACAGCAGTTAGTGAAAGAAAAGCCCGAAACACACAGAGACACAGGGAAGAAGCACTCACATTCACCCTCAGACCAAGAAGCAATGTTCACATGCACACCTCATGGACCTGATGTTCAGGAAAGGTTTAATAATTCAGAATGTGTTGGATGTGTGAGCATTGAGTTATGTTTTTGTCAATTTATTCTGTGTGATGTTTACTTCTTAACTAAGCAGAGAGCTCTTCCATAAAAATAAAAAAAATCCAGAGTATTTATTTACTTATGTCTAGGATGGACTATTGCAATTGTTTACTATCTGGGTGTCCACAAAATCTTCAGTTGATCCAAAATGCTGCTGCCAGAGTCTTAACTGGAGTTACTGGGAGAGATCACATTTCTCCAGTTTTAGTTTCTCTCCACTGGCTCCCTGTCAAATCCAGAATATAATTCAAAATCCTACTTCTAACCTAGAAAGTTCTCAACAACCTAGCTCCATCTTATATTACAGATCTTACTGTTCCACATTTTCCTAACAGAGCCGTTCGCTCTCATACTGCAGGTTTACTTGTGGTTTCTAGAGTTTCCAGAAGCAGAATGGGAGGAAGATCTTTTAGTTATCAGGCTCCTCTCTTGTGGAACCAACTTCCAGTTTCTGTCTGTGAGGCTGACACATTAGATATGTTTACATGGACATAGGTAAACGGATCAAACCGCCGTTCGGAAAAAAAACGCATCATGTAAACACCCCGTTCGTGTTATTATTTGTTTATTCAGCGTGATCCGAAGTACTTTGTAATCAGAACGAAACAGATGGTTTACGCCGATTCATAACCCTAACGGTGCGCATGTAAATGGTAAAAGGACTGTACTTATAAAGCGCCTTTCTATCTTATTTCAAGATACTCAAAGCTCTTTACATTACAATCTGTGCCTCATTTATCCATTCATACAGCTCTATACTAGATCTCTACAAAGCTAATTGAACAAATCATTCTACAGAGACTAATCAGAGCTTTTATCACATTCATACACTGATGGGACACACATCAGCGGCTATGAGGGGTTCAGGGTCTTGCCCAGGGACACTTCAGCATGTGACTGCTGGTGGATTCAAACCCCCAACTCTCGCACTGGAGGACGACTGCTCTAACCACTCAGCCACAGCCGCCCAACACTTGATCTGTTCGTTTTGTTCTGATGGTGAAAAACTGACCTGACTGCGCATGTGCGACTTTGCCATTTCCGCCTGGCTAATGCTAATAATATTAGCATGTCGGGGAAGTAAAACTGGTCGGTGAGCGACACAACATTTCTACTAGAAACTTTGAAAGAGCTCAAAATGATCTGTATCACCTGTAGCTCAGTCAGGGAGTGCAGTAACGTCTCCACCGTCATTAAAACCTGTCGCGGGTCCATTTTGGGTGCTCAGGTTTGTTTACGTTCATTACGGAAGTAGAACTTCTTCTTCTGTGTTTTTTTAAGGAGAGTTTACCACTCTGTGCATGTCAGTACTGCTGTTCAGAACAGAGCCCGCTGCATGTAAACGCTCGTCATGAACAGATTGTGCCCATGTAAACGACACATTTGAATTATTTAATCTGAAAACATTTCAATCCGGTTAAAAAATGTTGTGCATGTAAACATAGCTAGTGTCCAGTTTTAGCACTCTTTTTTGATAAATCCTATAGTTAGGGTTGGCTTGGGTTTCCTGAGCTATCCCTTAGTTCTACTGTTATAGGCTTAGACTGCTGGAGGACAAACTGACCACATTTCCTCACTTTGCTGCTGTTTTTATTTACTCTACCCTACCTGTTTGTATTTGTAATTATTTCTATCTTAACATGTTTTTGGTCTTTCCTCCTACACAGAGTACATCTGAACCTGTTGGTCTGTGTTTGTCTCTCCTTCCTGTCCTCTCAAACCCAGTGGGTCAAAGCAGATGGCCACTTGTCCTGAGCCTGGTTCTAGTGGAAGTTTCTTCCTGTTAAAAGGGAGTTTTTCCTTTCCACTGTCTCCTTTGTGCTTGCTCAGGATGGATGACTGCGACAAAGTGAAGATTCAATGAGTCTGCTGCTTCCTTAGATGGAGAACTTTTGCTAAATGGCTTTTTATGTATGTGAATGTTTCTGTTCAGTGCCCTGAAACAACTTTGTTGTGAATTAGCACTATATAAATAAACTGAATTGAACTGAATATAGTTATGCCTATACACCTGTTGTGAAAAAGGAAATTGGTTTAGATGTTCAGAAACAATCCAGGAATTACCAAGGCTCTGAACTTCTGGATGTCCAGTGTTCCTGTCCACAGTGAAACCAGTTTAATGTCACCATGGACTGAAAGGACCAAGAAAGAAGCTCCTAAATCTTCAAGTTGGACAAACCTGCAGCTGTCTACAAGACAAATATCTTCTGAAAAAAAGTTTAATAAACAAATGTGACAAACATTGAGCTGTTTGGCCACAAAGATGGGCAGAATAATTTGAAGCAGTCAAGGTGAAAGACTGCATCTTCAGGCACGATGGTGGTAGCATCATGCCTTGGCACTAGTGAACTTCACAAAGTGGATTAAATAGCTTCACCTCAAATCAACAGCTTGAAGGATAAAAGTTGGACACAGTTGGATCCAACAGGACAATGATCCCAACATTAAACTTCTAGCTTGGCTTGCCAAAAGCCCCAACTTCAAGGTCATTAAAAATGTGTGGATGCTGAATAAAAGCTGGGGCTGTTTTAGGACACCAAGCAATTAAGATGATTTCTGCTAAAAGAAGATAAAGACAATTAGCCTGAGGTCCAGGTGACACTCGCTGGGGGACATTGAACCTAATACAAGTTGGAAGATGTACCGTCATTTCTGGATTATAAGCCGTTACTTTTTCACACGCTTTGAACACTGTGCTTATACAATGCTGAGGACAATTTATGGATCTTTTTGTATTTTTGATGGGCTAACTAGCTTTATGCAGCCAAAACATTTAGCTTCGTCACACCCCGGCACTCACATAGCTGCCCAATACACGTCTCTCATGGGGGGTGGGTCCTCATGACTCAGTGAGACTACCTGTATAAATAAAAGATTTTAAAAAATCTGACCAATGAAACTACCAAACAGGTCTGATCTAAAAAAGTTAAATCTGGTCCTCTGGACATTCAAAAAAACAAAACAAAGCAAATCAACAAAAAAATGTAGAAACGTTTCGTCTCTCATCCGTGAGACTTCCTCAGTCCAGAGGACCAGATTTAACTTTTTTAGACTTTTCTACCTGGATTATTGAGCATGCATCAGGACAAACAGGTCAGAGTTCTCCCCGTTCTCTCCTCCCCTCCACGTTGTGCTCCCAGGGAGGGGGGAAACAAAGTTAAAACAATGTTTAAATGAAGTTTTCCTCCTCCCTTGGGGCACAACTAAGTATATGCAGCCACTCGACATCAGTGTGAATCGTGCATTAATGTGGCACTCTGAGCTCGGTGGGAGGCTTGGATGACTGACGGCGAGTAATTGTTTACTGAAACTGGCCACATGCCAAGAGAAACTTTTGCTCCAGTCTGCAGTGGGTCCTGACGGAGGAGCAGAGTAAAATAATCCTCTATCACCAAATAGGTTTTGAAAGGCTCTGCTGTGTGATGAAGAGGACAGCACAAGCTCAAGGGCACAGGAGGAAGTAGAAGATAGCGATCAATGACTTCCTGGTAAGCTACGGATTTTATTTTTAACGAGCCATATTAGTGTTCAGAAAAAATACTGTAAGTATTTTTGTATGTCACCGATACACATTTACTGTAATTGCTAGTGTACATGGCTGCACAGCTGCAGAAAGAAAAGTTTGGCAGAGAGTGGTGAAAGCTGCACAGAAGTCTGTCGGAGTCAGCTTCCCCACCATCACAGACATCTATACCTCTAGATGCAGGAAGAGAGCCACCTGCATCATGAAGGACCCCACTCACCCAGCACACACACTTTTTGCCCCACTCCCCTCAGGAAGGAGGTTGAGGAGCATTAAGTGTAGAACCACTAGACTGAGGAACAGCTTCTACCCTGAGGCTGTTAGACTCATGAATCTCTAACGAGAATAATCACTGTGAAAAATCACATCATGTTGCTGCTGATCTGTTTCATGTTGCTGCTGATCTGTTTCATGTTGCTGCTGATCTGTTTCATGTTGCTGTGTTCATTTGTGCTCATCTGCTCAAACAGACTCATGTTTGTGCTGCTGTTCGACATAATGTTTTTATGTTATGAGTGCTTAGTGTATTATTTAGTTGATGTTTTTCTTAGTTCATATCTTAGATGTTATCATTGTTTTTCTTTTACATTTTATTGTTGAATGTAACTGGGACCCTGTGTACATAATTTCGTTCCACCACATGTACCACGTGAGGTGCAAATGACAAACAAATCTCTCGGACTCTGACATGCTACTACTTTTTTCTCACACTTTGTACCCTGTGGTTTATATGTATGAGTGGCTAATTTATGTGGGGTTTTTTTTGTAATTTTCATAAGCTATATTTTTATATTTTATTTTGACAGACTTTCTACCATCTCTTGGTAACTTCCTGCCACTGACTAACATTTCCCTTTGACAGAGCTGAGAGCTCCCAGCACACACCCCTCTTGAGGGAAGGCTTTTGTGACAGAGTAAATGCCCTCGTATCCACATTTACAATGACTCTTGCTCATGGTTTCAAATACCCACCATAACTCCACCCACTCTGTCATCATGTGACCAGAAGTCTAACCTGAATGACCAATGAGGTACTCTCTAGGACCATTCCCCAAGACAGACGTGCATTCATTTCTTCAGATCGTTCCTGTGTTGTTTAGCATATCTTGCACTTTATGCACAGACCTGTTCGTTTGTTCAGTGATAATGAAAAACGCACTGAGAATTTCTTACGATGTAGCTTTCAAGTTAAAAGCAATTGATCTGGCTGTCGAAGAAGGAAACAGAGCTGCAGCCCATAAACTTTGCATCAGAGTGTTGACGGTCGGGCATTGCTGGAGATGTAAAGCAGTCAAGTCTGGTACATGTTTTAATAAAAGTTTTTAAATTCTTTCTGTGACATCTTTCTGTGTTGGTGAATATGTGTTTAAATACTGGGATCTCATTTTAAAGTCGCATCCAAACGCATGAATCGTTGTGCTCTGTGCAATGACAATAAAGCTGATTCTGATGAAACAGAGCGGAGACAACGGGTTCTTCCCCCTCCCCTTCCGTCATGAGAGCTCAGCGGAGAAGTCGTCAGATTTATTTTTAAAGCAGTCAGTCAAGACTGATGCATATTTAAATAAAAGTTAAAACAAACATCTGTGTGTAGTAAATATGTGTTTAAATACTAGTACTGAATCTCGTTTAAGCTTCGCATGGAGCGGAACAACGGGAGGGAGGGGCTCTTCCCCAGCCCTCCCTCATGCTCCTCTGAGCTCTGCTGAGGAGAAATCACATCAAATGTATTTAGAAAGTACATTTAAAATCAGCAGCTGTTATCAAAAGTGTTTAACAATAAAAAGCAATGGTACTAATTTATTGAATATTTCCCATATTTTACCAGTACTATTTGACTTCTGGTCACATGGCCTCGATAAGACTTCTGGGTAAAATTGACTGGTATCTAATTTTTAAATAATTTCAGTTTTGTAGGTGTTTGGCACTGTTCTGTCCAGTGATTATGCTTAAGACAGTTGTTGGTTCATTTTGAAGCTATAATGGTTGTAACCATGATTCAGACAGCGAAGCGTCATGAAGACTTCTGACGATCGTGCAGTCTGAACGTGTGTTGAAAACAAGCTATAGTCTGTGAAACGCAATCCAGTGACTGATTCTTGTACTACAAAAAGAAAGCTGAAATTTCCACCACAGCTGGCTGGGCACAGCTCCTGACAATGAACAGTGGATGCCCGCGGCTAAATAACCGGAGCGTCTTATTTACACAATTATGATTTAGCTTATATTTAGTATGTGTGGCTTAGAGACGGGTGTGTTCTGTAGTTCAAGAATTACGGTAATTAAAAGTTTTATAAATCATTCTGTGTAAATATCTCATGTTACAACATGGACGCCCGTGGCTTATAGACAATCGATGCCTATGTATGTACAATTTATTTGTTTTTTATTTAGTGGGCACGGCTTAAATTCAGGTGCGCTCAATAGTCCAGAAATGACGGTACATACTTGTGCCAGTGTATATAGTTATGAGCCTTGTCATGACTGTCATTAAAAGTGATCATATGAGGTGCAGGAAGAACTAGACGCTGCCCCTCTGTGTGTGTGTTTCAGATGTTAGTGTGTGTGTGTGTGTGTCAGTGTGTTACCACTGTGTGGTTCCTTGTAAACTACACTCTCCAGACCAAACAGCAAGTCTTGGGTCTGAGATGCTGACATCGAACGCAGCATGAAGGGGACAGACAGTATGTTAGTAAAGTCACCTGCAGGTGAAGAGTTCTGGAGAACAGCAGAATGAAAAGTTAACAAGTTGCTCTACAGTCATGGGTCAAAGGAAGGTCCACTCTCTTTCAGCTCCATGCTTTTCCATACGATCTGGTCTTTACCAGGTTCTGAATGATTCAAATCTGACCTCATGTGAACATAGAGACAACAGATTTCACCATGTTCATATAAAAAAAGCCCAAGTAGAAAAGCTGTGGATGGAACTCTGAATCCAGGCCCTGATCCAGCAGCCTGCAGAACCTCCTTCAGGGTTTCAGCCAGACAGAGGTCCTGGACTTTCATTGGACCACTGGAGCACCTTGATTCTTTATTGTTTATTTTTCTTGATCCGTACTGTTGTAGATTAGCTGCTGTGCATGAACTCATCGTCTTGTTATATCTTGACCCAGTTTGGTCCAAGCTTCAGCTGTCAGACAGATGGACTTCTCTCTGTAGAAGGACCATTAATCCTTCCCAGATTGATGGGCAGCAACACTTGTTTCTCTGAGGTCTTTCCACCCTGGCATTGTGTTAACACACACCTGTATACTCCAGAGCAGCAAAAACTCCTGCTTTTCCAGAGCCGGTCCCCCTGATGATGATCAGTTATGTTTGGTCAGAAGCTCCTGGATGATCCTGAACCTCTGAGATCCTGTGGAAGCAGCAAGGCTGGACCCAGCTTTCACACAGCTTTAATATTTTTTTTTTTTGTTTAGTAATCAATGACGTTGCCAAATCTGTTTGCAAAACTAATTGGAAGTTGGTAAAGACCCGATGAGTTTAATTAAGACCTGATTCACAAAATCTCACAAGTGAACAGAGGTGGACTTTCTTTTCTTATGACTGTAAATCTGCCCTGTGGAGGCCAGTTCAAATCAGAAGGCGTCAGCATCAGTCAGAAGTTGTGGAAAAAGAGCCAAAGAAGCAGAAAACACTCAGACACCTGACAAGAGCTGCAAGTTAGCTCGTCTCACCTCTGCGTGCGCCCATATGCAGCGCCTCCTCAATGCGCTGCAGCTCCCTCTGCTTCTCCTCCTGCTGGTAACGCTCCTCCTTTGCTGCATCGTACTTTATCTCTGAGGAAAAGAAGAGTGGATTTATACATCATCTGCTCTCTCTGTGACGCTGCAGATAAACAGCGAACAGTCTACAGGTGGGTGACGAGTGCAACGAGAACTGAAGGAACTACAACACAGATAAACACCACATTATGATTATTCAGTCATGCACAGACATTTGATCTCTAAATCTGAAGTTGTAAACATGCTGAAGGAAGGAAACAGACCATCCACCTTCAAGTCCCAAACAGCCCCCCCAAAAGCTCCAGCATGCTGCTCTTCACATTCTTCTGCGTGTTAGAGGACTCCTGTTCCCTCCTGCTACTCACATGCAACCTGTCTGATACAACCACAGGTGGACAGCTGGGACTCAAAGGCCTTCTGTCACACGGCCGGTCAGAGGTTTTCACCCAGTATTTGGAATGTTCTTTTAGTTTTGATGCATCCATCTACTGGGGTCAGTCATCAAGAGAAAACAGCTACAGTACCGTGTCTGCCGGTAAATGAATTCAGCTGGTGCATCAGTATCCATTTTTATATCACAGACTCAAAGTTAGAACTAGTTCTGGGCTTTGACTAGCAGCCTCCAATACATTTACGGGTCTTACCATCAACAACTCAAGTTGTGCCTTTGCAGAAATTTTTTATGTCTAAATCTGAACTTCCATTCCACTCCTGAATCTCTGCAGGACTCACATAGGTTTATTTTTAGACAGTTGGCTGTATTTATGTCACTCTAACATTTGATTTAACATTTACTCTTTGTTTATTTTATTCTGAAGGCAGCCCCGCAGCATGAGACTGCCACCACCATGCTTCACTGTGGGGTTTAACCAACCTTCATTTACAATCTCATATAACCTTCTACCAGACGCCTGGTTAAAATTATTTAAAACAACTCAAATTGATGCCAAGATTTTATATATATATATATATATATATATATATATATATATATATATATAT